TGGTAGAGGGCCAGCAAGCGAGCGAGACCCTGCACAAGAGGAACTGACACGATGGTAGCAGCCACAGGCTCAAACCCGGCAGCAGTTGTGAGGATGGCACAGGACCAGGCACTGTTAGGTCTGACTCAGTGGCACCTCATAACGAGTCATTGTCATTGTTTTGTAAAGTTAACCTTGGAAAATCCATAATCCATGCTGACTCATAGAAATATTCACAGTTGAAACCATAGTGGATCAATTCATTCATGAAGGTGAAACACCTCACCGGCATGAAAGACGTGGGCACGTGACTGTTCGAGGCAGTGAGTGTTTACTGCCATGAAATTCTAATGTGAAGTTTTCGTTTCAATCATTTTATTGGGGGCTCATAAAACTCTTATCCCCGTCCATCCATCCATCCATTGTGTAAAGCAACTAATGTGAAGTTTTCTAATGATTTCCAGTGTTGGGTACAGAAGTTCCTGGGTCCCTTCCTCTTCTGTGCCACAGCATGCAGATGTAACTACAAGTAGTTAGCAGCCACACATACTGTCGATTGCGCTCAGGATCTTGAACTTCCTCTGCCACAGCCTAGTGTTCTGTGTCCTCAGTTAGAGAAGTGATTTGAGGCTGAGGACAGCTTGTAGGCAATGTGAAGCTTTTCTTGACAATTGTATATTTTTCTGACAGAAAGGAGGTGTCCATTTCCCTGTGCGTAGTTTTATGAACTTCTAGTGGGTATGTGCACTGGAGAAGATCAAAGGTTCAGCTGCTGTAATTTGTAGAGACTTTTGACGATCACTGTGCTTTCAGGAGTGCTTTTGTTTTTTGGTCACATGAATGAAGCCTCACAAGATCTTGTTGGGTGTGTTTCTGAAACCGTAATTGAAGGTGAAGTAATTGATAGTTTCCTTTGCTTGACCTGGCTTGTCTGCCACTGTTTGACTTAATGCTTTTGACAGGGTATCCGTTTGGATTTTTCTTTTTCACGGAATGACCTTTTCTTTCTCTGAATTAAACACAATAGAATGTTTGTTGTTTAGAAGTGTGTGCGAACACTTGGGGGCAGAAAAAGACCAGCTTCAAATCCAAGCAGGCATTTTAATACAGAGTTTAGATTTCCACCAAAGTACATGTGGTATTTCACGAGTCGAGAGGTTTTGTTTGAGGACAGTTTACTGTGTGGGCTTCTTAAATCTTTCCTAATTTTTCACTCTTTTACATCCCCGAGGCAGAAGCTAAACTAATAAAAATGATGCAGATGCTTCTCACAGAGAGTGAAAGAACTTTAGAAGTGGGACAGCGGGTGAATTGGGGGTGCCTTTAAAAGTAGCTAGTGACCACTTTCACTAGGCTGGTGTGTTTTGAATGTGACAGTTGATAGGCATATAATAGAGACTGTGGGGTGGTGGTAGGGGATATTGGACCCTATGATGTTGTTACGGTGAGAGGCCAAGAAAATGGCGGTAATCATTGGTAAGAATGACAAGGAGAAGTGGGAGGATATGGTGGATAAAAATTCTGCTTGAGGGAACCACATCAGGCCACATCTGACCTCCCTGTGCTCTGAAGGCTGATTGCCACAAGACAGATGCCAGACATGCCCTTAATCCCCCAATCTTCCTTAGCAATTCTGACATGAGCCGTTCTGCCCCATGCACTCTACTGCTGTGACTGAGTGCAATAATTTATGACGGTTGCTACACAGAAATCATAGATGATGCTCACAATTGTGGGGTTTATTAGAAAGTTG